GCAGTTGAAAGATTGGCTGCCCTGGTTGAAATCAGATATGTCACGAGTTTTCGTTTGATGGCGTAAATTATCTAAATCGCCCCAACGTTTTCCAAGAAAGTCAAATTCCTAGAATCTCAAATTCCAAGAGGAATTAAGCTTGTTTTCTGATGAATATTGAAACCCAACTAAATCAACCCCACGAATTTTTCCTTTTATGGATTTTTATTTCTCAAGGGAAAAGCCCTGGATAGTTGATCCACGCCTCTAAGGAAGGGTTTCGAGGCACGCTGTATATCGTTTATGATTTTTGTTTTATTGATTCTCCGAGCAGTGGTTTCGAGATATATTATTTATAATATATTTCATGACTATTTTTCGTTGTATAGACGAAAATTGCTAACCTAACAAGATCATGACGTTTTCTTGGAAAAACAGGGATGTTGGAACAGAATACATAAAAACAAAAAAACAAAACAAAACAAAACTCTCGTTTTGATTATTAATATAGAATGCCGTATTAGCCCGAGTTTCAGCCTTGTTCTCTGGTCACTCGGAGGTGACAGGGCGGTCGACAGTTTTAAGAGTGGAAAATCGAAACGTATTAAAATGGCTGAGACAAATCATGCGTCAAGATTAATGTGAAAATGCGGGCTGTATTCATCAAATCATACATCTTATACCCTATATTTTCCCCTTCTTCATTAACAACAGGGGCAGATCCAGAAAAAAACATAACCCTGATACACGATTGGAACGTGCTGGAGAGAAAAGCCATATCCTAGAATAATATTTTACTCTGTTTTTGTCTCTTTAGGGCTGACACTTAAGTCAGGTGAATCTGCTTTACGTTTCTGTGAATCACTGCCCTTGTGCAATAACGCAGCTCTGTATATAAGACGAACTCTTTCATCCTTCTCAAATCCTGACAACAATACTGTTCTTATTTTACTCACTGACAATTCTTGAAGCGTTTTTCCTCTCAGCGACGGTATGGTGCAACAAAATTTCTCCGCACGCGCAGAAAAAGATGTCAGATCTTTGTCGGACGTTTTCCTTTCCTTCAACATCACTTCCAAAGCAAGAAACAATTCCGTTTCAATTAAACACTGTGGAAAATTATTAACGAGGTCGGCAATATCGGAGTAACTGTTTTTCTCCAGAACTATCTTCAGGAGTGAATGCGCTGCGAGCGAGTCACATACAGCATCATGGTGCCTTTCTTCAAAGTTTTCTTTCTCTCCCTGTTCGAACAATGAAAGCACTTCACACTCTTGTTGATCCCCTGCCGTAATACAAGACTGATAAAGATAAAGGAGGCTTTGCGCTTTTTTAATTCGAATTGAAAACTTCCCTAATAGCGTCGATAATCCATAACTGTTGAAATCAGGGAATGACTTGATCGCAATTCTAAGAAGGTCGACCCATTTGATCTTCCTCATAAGAGCTTTGTTGTCTTCGTTATCTTGCAGTCTGTCAAACTCAGCCATCAATATACTCCAGTCAAAGACACAGTTATGACACACAACATACTCAACATTTTCCAAGAACTCACACAACATCGATACCACGTCGGCAAACTTCGGCTTTCCTAGAAGAAACTCCGGCGATATTTTGTGTACTTCGTAAGCTTCCATTTGTTCCTCTCTTGATTTGCAAGGATTCACATATGCCATCCACGGTTTAGAAACATTGTTTTCGACTTTAACAATGCCTATTTGTACGATGCGGTCTGTTTTTCTATCCAGTCTCGTGGTTTCAACGTCCAAAACTGCATAAACAGGTGGAAGACTTTGACTTGGCTTGGTTGAAGAAACGACCTACAGATCGGTATTGAAACAAAGTTCAAAGACATATCTGAGTCAAAATCGTACTTGAGTGTGCGGCGGAGAAAATTAAAGCTTCTATTAAAATTGTTGTTACTTTCAACTTGTAACTACGCTGGCTATTTACACTGTTGTTTTTCTGTTTTTGTTTGCGAGCTCACAATGGTGATACTCATATCATGCCAACGTCTCAGATGTTTGTCCCTCGCTCTGTAGGGTTTAACTGGTTTGTACCGGTTTTAACCGGTTCTTGTCAGACTATTTACACATGATGGGATTAACAGTTACCGTAACCGGGTAAGACTCATAGGTCTGGACAGAAATAATTTCAATATTTAGAGAGAAAGCCACATCAGTCTTAGCTGATTTTGATGCGGGTCCTCTATCCTGGTTTAATTGAAATTTGGAGATGTTAGTTGTTGTGGAGGGAGGAAAACCGAAGAACCCGGAGAAAAACCGTCGGAACAAGGAGAGAACCAACAACAAACTCAACCCAGATATGGCACAA